TATGAGCAGGCGAGTTCCGAGGCCGACATTCCCGCTCTACAAGATCACAGCAAAAAAAACGAAATGAGAAATCTCAGAAGGGAACCCCAAGATTTAGATCAAGATACAGATAGAAAACAGAAAAGACGTAGAAATTTACTTTCAGAAAAATATGGAAACCGCTCGCTCGCTCGCGCCGACTCGGAGAAGAGGGATTCTTCGGAAACCCTAGCTTGGGCGTCTCTTATATACACGGCTGTCGCGTGATGGTTGGCTCCCTACTCTTGGGGGCCTATTGCGGCTCTTTTAGCCCAGAGGAGTTGGGCGCTGGGCTTCGTTTCCAGCCCATAAGCTAGAAGGGCGCTGGGCTTTTTTTTGCTTCTTGGAGGGAATTTATCTTCCGGATACTACAAACTAGGGGCTAAATTACCAAATATGCATTAAAAAAGAGTGCCTTTGTCAACAAGGTCTATTCCGACTGTCGACGCAAGCTTTGGAAGCGAGAATTAATAGATTTTTGCATACGTATCCCTAAACACTTTCATATTTACAATATCGACCCCAAGTTCTAATATTTGCCCCAAAAAAAAAAAAACTCAGCCCCTCGTTATCCTCATCCCCTTACTCTGCCCACTCGCTCTTCCTCCTCCGATCAGTAAAAAAAAATCAGCCTCCTCCTCCTCCTCTCTTAGACACAATATCAAAACTTTACCTAAAAGTAGAGGACCGAGTGGAGGAGAGGAAGGATAAATAAGTTCAAAATTTTTGAGAAGAGAGGTGGGGTTTGAGACGGAGGGAGAGGAGGAGCTAAGGGTGAAGATCTGGGAAGGGAGGCGGGGGAGGGGAGTAGTGTTGGATATTTTGTTCATAAAAAGGCAATTTTGCATTTGTGAATAGTTCCACATTGAAAAATGAAAGTAAGTCCAAGAGGTTTATATTGGTTCACATTTTATTAGGCCTTGAATAGTGTTCTGGGTTTTGTGGGCTTTGCAAAACACACGCACGCGCTCGCACGCACGCACACCTCGCCGCCGCCGCACGCACGCACGCGCGCGCCACACCGCACACTTACACTTTTTTGGATCTCAGTATTTTTATTTTTTCGTTTGCATTCCGCGTGACTTGTTCGTAACGAATGCGGAGTTGGCGCAGGGAGTTACGCGGATGCTGCGTAACGTATGCGGATTCGAACAACGGCTCTTTGGCCTCCAGCTCCTATATATATCGGGGTTCTCCTCCTCGGAAGACACAGTGAAAAGCAACATCCTCTCTTCTTCTGCAAACGATTCTTCCTTCATTTCTTTCTCAAAGTTTTGTTAATGTGTTCATTATTTTTCCGGGCAACCATCTTTGTCTGAGCAGAAGCTATGCTACTCTCGCCCGAGTACAGAGGTCGGCCATTTTTCGGGGCTTTTACCGCTAAGGGGAGAGGATTGACTACGCCAAGGCGATAGGCGGGTCCTCTATCTTCTAGGACAGTGAAATCACGACTGTACCCGTTCAAGCCTGATGTTCTAACTTTTTAATTTCGAATTTATACTAATTATTTTCTTTTTTGACAGCAATCTAGAAGATAGATTTTTTTACTGTTAATTTAGATCTGAAATTAATTGCTTTTAATAATTACAAATTTTTTTGTTAATTCTGTGTTAAATTCAATTTTTTAAAACATTGTTCATCAGGTTTACTGTTCACCCGACATTCAACGTGGCGGACATTTCTGACTAGCATCCTTCAATCAAGTTGTATTCGAGTGATGAGAACTCAGAGACGAGTTCTTCCGAAGAATGAGGGACTGATGCAGGAGATCAAATCTTGGACGAGCTGAGAAGAAAAGCAGCCCAATCGAGTCGAGCAAACGACTCGAGACGATAGGACGAGACGACATGCGACAGGACAAGTCGACACATCCCAGTCGACACGAAAGGCGGGACTACTCGACATACTTAGTCGACTCATGTCCAGTCGACACGAAAGGCGGTATTACTCGTGTCGACTCGGACTTCAAATTAGGAAAGAGACCTTTTGGTTATTTCCTTTTTGATTAGGAAAGAGTTCTTTTTGGTTATTTCCTTTTTGATTAGGAAATAGTTCTTTTGGTTATTTCCTTTTAGATTAGGAAAGAGTTCCTTTTTAGTTATTTCCTTTTAGATTCATACTTTTTTTTATTAGAGTTAGGATAGATTTAGTTGGCTATAAATAATAGTTCCTTTTGTAAATCAAATAATTAACTTTCAATTATTCAATCAAGAGAATTGTTCTCCATTGTTCTTCTTCTCAAGTTTGAGAAACCTAGGGCTTGTGGATTCAAGCTTGTTTTCTACCTGCTATTGTCAGGGCTCGTCGGCATCGGAACGATATCCAATCGGTCTCCCCGTTTCTACGTCTGCGTCATATTCCATCTTGACTCATTTGAACATTCATAAAACCATGCATTATGCCTTTTTATCATTGTGACCCTAATCAATATCATTGCTCGAACATGATAGTGTGACATTAGGGCTCCAACATGGCAGTCAGAAACATGGAAAATGTGTGATAAAATTTTTTATGTATCAAGATTTAAGATGCTGATGGGGGACAATGTATATAGAGGAGCTGTATCAAGCTTAGTGAAATGTTATGCACTTTATCTTTCCGAGTCATTCCCTCTTGCCTGAAAGCTTAAATTAGGTAGTTTGTAAGAACTTGATTATTTTTGTCTATTTAGTGAACTAATTGGGAGTCATATTCGTCTCAACATGTCAATGCCCTATAGTGCTCCTACAGGCTCACCGGTCCCAAGCATAACAATTTCTATTGTTTTTTTTTTTTGATGACAAGGGAAACTTGGTCACCCCAGCTCAGTTTAACTCCTTTGGAGCCCCGCCAGCGGCCCTGGTTCGATTTCCATTGTTCCCTTCACATCTACAAGGAGCTACCATTAATACCAGGGGCTCATCCCCACGGGCAGAGCGCGGGCGAGCAGCGTGGGGACCACTGGGACGCGAACTGGTGAGCATACAACGGGCTGAGCTGGATTTGGTGACCAATAAAACCCCGGGTTTCCGTCCCCACCCTTAAACCAAGGGAAACCAGGTGAATGCGGCTACGAGGATTCGAACTCCTGACCAACAACGGGCAATAGCCTGGAGAGATACACTCCCCCATGGAGAGCTGCTGACCATGAGTCCCACCCGCGGGTGGTAACAATTAGGAGAAAGCTAGAGTCGTTTCTAGATTACTATACTTTCTATATTTGCATTGTACTGCGAATTTGATTCGTAAATCATTTTTGGAGATGATATTTGTGTATATTTTCTTGTAATTCCTAGTCAAATTTGTTGGGAGTCCAACATTATCACAAGATATAATGGAATTATACCAACTTTATAATTTTCATAATTGAGGGTTCCAATGGGTAACAAAAAGATGAAAGTCTCCCAAAATTAAGGTATCTCAAACTTCTTTTTTGATTGCAAATTTCATAATAGGTGTTTAATTTATGGGCACATGGTTATATTTTCCATATTGACTCGTTTGAACATTCAAGCGCAATAACCCATCAATGGGAAGATTTTTTGGACTTTTACAAGTACACCAATGAAAAACTATAAAACAACAAACCAATAAAAAATTAAAACAAATCCGATCATTATTAAAACTTTCAAACACATTTTCGAGTGCTTGCTATTAACTACTATTAGGTTAGCAAAATTTATAAATAGTGTTGCATTATCCTAGATGATTGAATTGTATCTATAATTGCAACACCATAGCATAGTAAAATCTTCACTTCAAACGGATTGCGAGTAAGTCAATTTTTTTTTTTTTTTTTTTTGGGGGGGGGGGAATGTGACTTAGTTCGTTATTATCTACAAAAACATATCACGCTGAAACCCCGCATTATGCCCTTTTTACCATCATGGCCTTAATCAATATCATTCCTTCAACTGTTCAACATGACAGTGTGAAATTAGGGCCCCCACATGGCAGTCAGAAAACATGAAAAGTGTCTAATAAAACATTTTTTTATGTATCAAGATTCCAGATGCTGATAGGGACAATGTATATAGAATTAGGCAGTTTGTCAGGGCTGGATCATTTTTGTCTACTTAGTGAAGTAGTTGGGAGTCAGATTCATATATACATGTCAATACCCTATAGCGCTCCAATAGACTTGCAGGTCCTAGGCATAACAGTTTATATTGTTGCTCATGTAATCATACAATTAGGAAAAAGATAGAGCAACTTCTACGTTATTGTACTTCCTATATTTGAATTGCGCTGCAAATTTGTTTCTTCAATTATTTTTGGGGATGACATTTGTCAAGTTTGTAAGGGTGTCCAATAATATCACAAGATATGTGGAGTTATACCAGCTTCGTGATTATGTTAATTGAGCTTTTCAATGGGTAAGAAAATAGTGTGAAAGTCTCGCAAAGTTAGGGTATCTCAAACTTCTTTTTTTCATTGCAAATTTCAGAATAGGTTTTTAATTTGTGGACGTATGCTAATATTTTCCATCTTGACTCTTTCGTCTTTCGAACATTCAAGCGTAACAACCCATCAATGTATAGATTTTTTTTTAAACTTTCACAAGTAAACCAATGAAAAACTAAAACAACAAACTAATGAAAAACTAGAAGGGCTCCAATCATTACCAAAACTTTCAAGCACATCTCCGAGTGTTATCTATTAACTAATATGAAGTCAATAGAATCCGTAAATAGCATTACATTCTCATGGATAATTGAATTGTATGTATAATTGCAAACACCATAGCCTAACAGAACCTTGCTTCAAACGTAACTGTTGAGTAAAGACAATTTTTGGGGAAAGGTGATTTAGTTCGTTATCATCTACATAAGCCTGCATGTCACACTAAAACCACGCATTATGCCTTTTTTGATCATTGTGACCCTGATCAACATCATTGCTCCAGCATAACATTGTGAAATAACTGAACATCTCAAATTTGTTTTCATAATAACAAAAGCAGAAACGGAGTAGATGAATAATAGGCAAGAAAAACCAATATATAGGAGGACAAGAAGTAATACACGTGCATTTTTCTTCTTCTTCTTAACAACCGTTCGTATAAGAACACAGATCCAATATCAAGTGCAACGAGAAGTTGACTTTGCAGAAGTATTTAGATAAAGCTAAAGGGAGAGCAGAGCAAAAGCACGCCATCGTTTCTCATCTAACATATAATGGTTAAACTCAGACATATTTGAAGTTCAGTTCTCGTTGATGCCTCAAAACATCCTCTGTCATGCTGAACTGCTCATGTGTCCCAATCCCACCATAGCATTATACGTCCAAAAAGAATTACATGCCAATTTTCCAGATGAATCTCATCACAATGTGAAACATCTAGTAGAACCAACCTGTTACTTGAGTTCAGAACTTTCAGCGGGGCTAGCCACACTCGAGCGTGGGGCTTACGCACGAGTGTGGCTAGTATAGCTCTAAGAGCTTTAGAAGTAGAACACGGTTCAGATTCAAAAATCTTACAACAATAACTATTTGAATGTTTCTAGGCTACAGAGAAACACTTCCACCAGCTGGATGATAATGTTGGCCTTCCATGAATTTGTCAAACTGGGGGGCCATTTTACGAACAAAGTCAACAGATTCAGATAGACGATTCAAAAGGTTCAGGAATGCAATTACTTCGTTCCTTTGCAGCTGCAACTGAAAGAACAAGAATAGACATCATCATCAATGATTTTCTCGTCAAAGAATATTTACTAAATTTATAACTGATTATTACCCTAACATCAATTGATTGATTTCTTTTTACTAGGCCGAAATATGAAAATAGTTTACTAGTTATCAGAAGAGAAGTAACTTACAGGCTGATTCTTTGTACTTTGGCCATTGACTGAGAACAGAATCTTCAATGCTGTGCCAAGACCCAGAACTTGAAGTTTCCCCCATAGGCGGCACTTTTCACAGCCTACACAATCCATCAATGCACTAAAAATGTGCACATCAGTTAACATTTGCTTAATATTCAACTTCCATCATAATATAACAAGTAAGGTTGTGGTGAAACCTGATGTTTCTGAATTGCTTTTGAATCTGTTGCATCAATTCAGGTCCACTTTCCCCTTGCCAAAGCTTGGCTTCATTAAACGGAAGAGGGCAAGCAGACTGCAACTTAGGGTTGTAGACTAACTGCCTCACTAACGATTGTGTTTTCAGATCTTCTTCAGGGTTCCCAGTGTCATATTCAGCCTGCTCTAAATAGTCTGCAGCCTGAAAGACATAAAACAGAAAGCTATATTGTACAAGATAGCTATGAAGAAGAATAAATATGGATAAGCACTCAGACACAAAACGAATTAGATGTCGAATTCCTAAAACAATATATGGGAAGGAAGTCAAAGGAACACCAACTTGTATATCTATGCATAAACATGCCCATGGGCTTATATAATATTACAGAGTGGTCTTCTAGGGTAAATAGGTTGGAAGGCAGAATTTGGGGTTTCAAGACAAATCAGAAGGATAATAGATGGACATGCGAAATAAAGAACATGAATGCAAGCTACAGACTGATAGCATTTGATATAGAAAATCCCATATATAAAAGTGATAATATATGATGATATAGAACCTTCATCTAATCTATAGAACTTGTGAATGAATGCAATCATTGCCTATATATAAACCGTCCATCTCAACACTGTTAAACTGTGTACATTAATGGACAAGCTTATAAAAGCAGCAGATCAACCAAAATGATGTCCTAAAATCACAACCTTAACTTACGCAAAACTGTTAGTCAAGCGTCAAAGAGTTACCATGAGAATAAGCATATGCATGTTTCGACATGGCAACTTAACGTCATGCATGCACTTATAGTTCTCCGGTGCATGCAATGCATACATTACGTAGTAAACATGTGCATAAAAATTTTTAACATCTAAATAGTCAATGCTAATTGCTAAATGAATAGTTTTTTAAAAAAATTATTGCCAAAGGTGATATAAAGTATCTTACTGTCAGAAAATACAGAGTGGGGGAAGTTATCACATAATGAGCGGCGGTTAGGATGTTTTTAGGTCTTTCCAATTTTGTCCTAGCTAGCTAGTTTCAATGTACTATAAAATGTTGATGACAAATGTTGAACTGTTTGAAATCTTGGCACATAGGGGTAGTAATAAATGTACAATAAATTATTGAGGACATATGTTGAATTTTTTTAAATCTTGACACATACGGTCAGAACCAAAAGTATAGTTTTTCTTAAATAATAGTAGTAGATAATAGATGCCTGGTTACTCAACATGGAATTCAGATGGAAGTGCAAATCTACATGTATTGTATCAGACGAAAATGAACGTATATTTGAGCAAACACTACCAGTAAGATGAGGCGAAGGGATGGCTTTATTGCCAAAACAACTATATAAATGTGCTTTCCAGGATAAAACATAAAACCTCCCACATGCATGAACTATGTTCTGCTCAATGTTGAAAATAACACGTTATATGGCGTAAAATGGCGTTTAACGTGACGTAGCGATGGGTTAACGCTATGTAGCGTTTTGAAATAGCACAGATCACAAATAACGTATGCTATTTCGGGCATAGCGTACGTTTTGTGGTGTTTTTGCGTAGCGTTGCTTAGCCTGCGTTATTTGATTAATGGCTAGGATTTATTTTAAAAAAAAAATCAACGACTGTGATTGACTTCAAATTCAACAAAACCCTAAAAATAAAAGAGATGCCGTCGCCCAGATTCTAACCTCGTCTTCGTCTTCGTCTCAGGCCCTCGTCGTCGTCTTCGTTTCAGGCCCTCGTCGTCGTCTTCGTCTCAGGCCCTCGTCGTCGTCGTCGTTTCAGACCCTCGTCGTTGTCTTCGTCTCAGGTCCTCGTCGTCATCTTCGTCTCAGGCCCTCGTCCTCGTTTTCGTCTCAGATCCTCATCGTCGTCGCCGAACTTAGGGCCTTCGTCGTCGACGAACTTAGGAGACTAGGGTTTTCTTGGGCCGCTACAAATGGTGACGGCGACTGATGAGAGAGAGCGAGGGTTGGTTCGTAGAGAGAGAGAGGAGGGGGGAAGGAGATGATGAGGGAAGAGGTGAGGATGGGGTGGGTTTTTTTATAAAGGAATTAGAAGAGGATAAGGTCGGAGGAGTTGACGGCGTGGGAAGCAAGGGTTTTTATAACGGAGGAGTTAATGGAGGAGTTGACGGCGACGGGTGATGTGGGTTTTTTTGTTCGTTTATTGGCTGATTTGCACATATACCCTTAAATTATGGGTATTTGTGAAAATAATTTTTAAATCTGAGTATTTTGAATGTTATATATCTATAAATTATTTAAATAATAATAAATTATTTAACCTACGTTACGCTATGCGTTATCGCTATTGTAACCTAACTGGAGGGAAGTGTTACGCTATGCGTTAATGCTATTTTCAACATTGGTTCTGCTTATTGCTATGTAGAAGATTTTTTATATAGAAAATAGCATCATCATAAAGGTTATAAAATGAATTTCATTACCCATTAGGGCATTTAGGTGTGGTGATTGGTGCTTGTTCTTCTAGTTTAGCACCTCTTACTCATTCTCTTGAAAAATAAACCAACGTATCATAAAACACAAAGCTTTCAGCTAAAGATGGAGATTTGATCAGCATGAACAATAGCTTACATAACAAAAGTTACAGGACTAGTGGCCCGAAATAGAATCATATGGTTGATCTGAGTGATTTGTGCAATCGAAAGCAAAAGTCTGGCCAAGTACAGACAAATACTGAGCACATCATGACTAAACATATAAGGTATATGTCATTTCACCATTGTACATATGTTTTAAGGCACCCACAGGGGCGAAACCACATAGGCCAAAGTGGTGTCACATGAAACTATTTTGGTCCTGGATCCCACCCAATTTAATTGACCCACTCTGCTAAAAGAATCTTAGATAGACTTGGTGACCCCACACAAAATGCATATTTTCTATCATAAGCAATCCATGGTCTTTAGACTCTCTACCATAGGTTTCCAATATTTCTATTTAAAATGTTTTTTATCTATTAAGTTGTTATTTCTTTAATTTTTAATTATTAATTATATAGTGGCAACACTTTTTAAGAGATATTACATCCACCACTGGTTACCCAATTCTGCACTTTTGTTGCAACGGAGCACGTGCACCATACAGGTTCTCAGAATACCTTTAATGGTGCATATATGTCTCAGTTGTTAGGTGATTTTTAGACTAAGACATTCAGTAATCAGGCATGCTTGTGCAAAGCTTCTACATGGAGCATGTTCCAATGATACACGTTGGCACTAAAAGTTCATTCAACTTTAGTAGCTTAGGAAGGGTAAGCATGGACATCACAGGGGTAACTTCTTACTGTCATCCAATAGCAGCACCTCCAAATAGCCTAACCTAATGACTACATCTCCACCAGCTGTTGCTAGGCCTGTCTGGATAACCAGATGTATTATCCAAATTATCATGTTAGAAAGCCTCTGCATTATATTAGATATGACAGAACTTTGCTGCCAAGAACTATTTTGCACATTCTGCACAAATTTTTTTAGGAAAAAAAATTAAAGTTTACTGACTAGTGATAATAATTTATAAGAAAGGTGCAACGGTTATTAGTCATTTAAAAAGTAAATGGAAGAACGCTTCTATAATGTTTCTACAGGACATCTCTGGGAGGTGTATCCCTTAAAATGCGGGGGAATATTCTTTAACAGTTTCCCATAAGCAAGATTCTTTCTACTACCCGACATCTTCCTATTACTTACAATGTCCCAAGCAAGGGTTTCCACATGCCCTAGCATGTTTGACATCCCTAATGATGGAGTTCCTACCACAATTCCTCTTGGAAAATGCTTACTAAATTCTAAGTTAAATGGAAATAATATTATACCTTCCTAGTACATAGTGACACAGGATTATTTACTTAGATCAATAAACGTCAAGTGGTGATAGCCCTGATACCATTTTTAATCACCTAGTCAAGGAATATCCAAGAGATCAACCATCCTACTATTACTCTTGCCCAGCAAAAATTAAGTATGAAGTATTCACCATGAATTTTTTCTTAACATGCTAGTTACAATTTAGTTTTTACTTTATTGGGCTGGGAATATTATATGTTAGCTATATTTGTATTGCAAAATGATACTGAACCAAGGTTTTAAATATCAGTTATTGGGGATTTATCAGACAACCAAAATTCATATTGGATAACAGATAGCAGGGATAAGTATTATTTATCAGAGTGACATATCAAATGGTGTGTGTGTGTGTGTGTATATATATATCATAGCCTAAACTATAATCTAACCATAATTAATAAAATATAAACATACCAAAATGTAAATAAATATGTTTAGGATCACTAACCAATTATAGAAACTTGCTTCTTGAATACATGCCCCTTGCTTGAAATCAAAACCAATGTAAGTTCGTTTTGGAATCAGTGCAAATCTATGTTTCAAAAAGTGGGGATTTCTAGGATCAACATTCAAGATGCAATTGAAGTGTAATGTGTATGTCAATGATTGACATCAAGTGTTTTTCTTATATTCGATAGTCATTTGTCCATCACATGCATCATGCTCAAGTGGCACCAAAATACCACCTAGACACAATGCCATATGTACGTGGAAAAGCAACATTCAAACCATCATACTACTGTAAAATTGAAGCAATCTCACAATTTTTTCATATCTTGGTTGCTTCCTAATTCATCCTTGAAAAGAAATAGGCATATGGATTTACACGCTCAAGTTCATGGTGAAGTTATCATCTCAGTTGAAAATAAATATAAAACACGGAGTAAGATATTTAATGTGCAATTCAAAAGACTGACATCTAAAAGTAAACAAAGGTGCAAAGGAAAATAAAATGCACTGCACAAGTATTACAACTTGATAGAAATACATGCAACTATGAAACAAATGTACCTTTGTTACTGCCCGCAAAACAAATAGAAACGAGAAATACAAATTTCTGACACGATCAGGATGTTGCAAAACACGGTCATATAGCAATTTAAGATTTGGCCCCCACTGGTTCATGCAGTAAGAGTAAAAAGTATGTCAGAAAGTTACAGTTTATGAAAAATGTATCCAAAAGGTACACGCGCACATAAGCATTTTATAGTTTAAGTTTGGGGGAAAACCAGGTTTTTGGCTTCGTCAAGGAGATAGTCAGAAGCTATATGAACCGAGATTGAGGTATGTAATCCTGAAATCAACTTATACAGTACTTTTTTCTCTGGACAAAATTCACCGGAAGGATCTGCAAAAGAAGATAAATAACTAACATCATACGAGCAAAAACAAATATTTGTTTCCCCAGTTCTCCAAGAAGTTATCTTCTCCGGAATCACTAATCAAAAAGGTAGCATTTGACACAGTTCACCCAGAATTTTATGATTTGTTAAGTAACATTTCCCAATGCCATACGTTTGTCTTATCATTAGTAAGAGTAGCACATAAACTTGTGTCATATCACAATGTTACACTACTGAGTTCATTCAGCAAACCACAAATTAAAGTGAACGTAGTAGATCATGTATGCCAAGTTTAGCTATCAGTTGCTATTTTATTAAGAAAGGTTAGAAAATGATGTTACCATATTATATCATGCCAAGTAAGATGATACCATGGGAAAGGTTGGTCTTCAAAAACATGCTCCAGATGGGCCCAGGTTAAGGTAACCTGGGTTGACTAAAAAATGGGCAACACAAACCCGCTTTAGTGTCTCTTTGCTCCTAACTTAACCATTTCCAAACAAAAACACAGAGAAATTCAAACACATGCAGAGACATCAACACAAAAACTCAGAGACATCAACACAAAAACTCAAAACACACACACACCCAACCCAACCACGCACGTGCACTAAAGCACAAACTCACGCACATGCTCCTGTGTGCATGCATATATACAGATACATATATAACCTCTTATAAGGGGGGAAAAAGGGAAACTAGGACAGTATTCTGACCGAGTTACGATTTGGTAATCTCACATAGTACTTTGTGCCTACCCACCCACCCCCCACTCCCCACCCAAAGGAAAAAAATAAAAATAAATAAAAGTTGTAATAACCAAGTAGTAATTTCTTCATCACCCCCCTCACACACTGACACCGGAATATGCAATATGGGATCTAATCGTAATATAACATCTAAGAATAATTAACATTTTGTCATAGGATGAAATTCAAATGAAATCTTAAAATTTTAATGGTATTATTTCATAAAGTATAATAACACCCAATTTGGCACGAAATTTGACAGTTTGTTCAGTTGAAGCCCATATAGTTAATCTACTTATATCCTTCTTCTGCAATCTAATAGAATTGGCTATAAATGGATAAAAATGCTGGCCATCTGGTCTCAACATTAGAATAGGGACAGGTTCAATATCTAAATTGTAAAACAATTCCTTTTGGCAAAGGTTTAAGAATGAGCAATTAAGAAACACTAATCCGGTCGAGCATAATAAGTTAAATTGATCAACTAATTAGGTAAGGTTTATATTAGTTAGATCATCATCAATATTTGGTAAGAGGGAGGATTATTATTATTTTTATAAATAAAGAAGTTTTTTCTTATCTGTCTAAAGATGTGATTGGTTTTAACTTGGCTACATGATTTATCTTCATTACAACTTTTTAAATTTGATAAATTAAACAGGCTAACTCACTCTGCTCTTGAGGATACATTTTTGTGTTTTGACAGGTTAAAGAGGGGTTAACTTTTCCTAACCTCTAACTTAAAGCATTGTCAAATAACATAAAGAGATGACATCTAGATCTAATAAATGTAGAACCAAAATGGTAAAAATATTGAGCAAACCAGCAAAGTTTTTAAATATCTCAAGTATAATTAAATTAGTTATCAGCAAAGTTGTTGCCATAACGATGAAACTCTCTCTTGTCCTTTACATGCATTGCGCATGTGCATTATAACTAGTTATATACACAGATGACCGACTTAGCGCATAAAAATCTGTGAAAAGAAAAGCAATATCTATTTCGGCTATTGGAGATAACAAGCCTTCTCGGATTAAAGTGCACATAACTTCTTTTATTAAGTAATATTTGAATGAAGAGGAGAGATCAACATCAGCTCTAGCAAATCTGGTTGCAAACTTTACACTCCTGCAGTTTTGACCAGACTAGTTAAAAGATATCTAATGCTTTCTCCTTTTAACTTTAATCTGAAACGAAACCCTTGCTACTAATATACGGACACTAAAATGTACAATGTTTTCTCCTTTTAACTTTAATATGAAACGAAACCTTCGCTATTAATTTACGGACAATAAAATGTACAAACTTATAACTAACATGTAAAGCCAAGACATACTATACGCATTAAAAAAATAATTCTCACTCACGACTTCAAGATAAATAATAGAATGAGCTCATATACATACTCAGAAGCTTTGGTCAGAAATCAGGGCAAATAGATATGTAATGGAATGTTGTATAATCAAACAGATGAATGTCATATGTGCCCATGGATGTCCTCCTATATTTAAATAAGAAGAGCAAGTAAACTTAAAGACCTGCCTGGCGCCTGCCAATTACAACTTGTTGTCCAATTTTCAGTAACGTTTCTTGCTTTTATTTCAATTATATCCAATCCGTGTCTTTCAGCTATATGTTTTTCAACCATGTTGCCTCTGAATACATATTCCAAGCCCCTCTCTGCCTTTGAAAGAGGACCAGCTACATAGCTCTAATCTAAATCGAGGCCAACTGAAGGACTCGATCAGAAATCAAAAGTATACTGCTCTGTCCATATAATGTCAACATACTGTGAGATGATGGTCCAAATTACAGCATTATGCGTATGAGAGAAGCTAACCTAAACCATGAATAACTGGCTGGAACTTGGTAGGAAGGGTACAACTATCAGTCAAGTGGTGAGAAGTGAGAACATGCAATCATCCAATCACCATATGCTGGCAACAATTCAAGATGAAAAGGAAAGGACAAAAGTATCTACAGGGTGATTTATTCATCACTAAGGGAAAACATATTAGCCAAGTAATAGATCGCCTTAAAACTTAAAACGGCAAGGACCAAAGGGAGTCTGGAACCCTTTGTTCTACAAGAGGAAATTATAGCCCCATTACTCTAGAAAACTATATTGAACTTTCAAGAAGATTATTTATTCTTACTCCATTGAAAGAGTAAGAATTAGTTTTTTCATAAAGGTATTCTAGTTCTTTGGACATTACCTTAATCCAGGAGCTTACATAACTAATAGTTATTTCTTCATATATAATGAAACAGAACGTAAGCTTTTTATTCAAGTTCTGCATTCTAATATTATAGGTGCTTCTCATGTAAATAGTAACCTTCTAAATCTTGAGAAGGTAACCAATATGTTTCATAATGGCACTCAAATAAAACCATGATGAACATCATTGTCAAATAGTGAACAATAAACTGACAATTAGAATAAAGAAACATCGGTTAAGAAAGACTGGGAAACAGTGTACAAAAAGATGCTAGGACTAACATTTTGGACAGTTTTCAGTGTAGATAGCATCCCATATCCTCCTAGCTGATGGACCCACATAACCAGTATAGCGTTCAGGATTTAGCTGAAGATTTACATAAGTCATCTCAGCTGCAAAAATAAATGAACTATCAAATGTCATCAACCATTTTTAGCAACCTGAATAACAGGACAAAAAACAAATATAATGTCATCGGGTATCATAAAGCAAGTAGACTTCCTACATGAGAAAAGAAATTTTACCATTATCGTAAAGCAAGTAGACTCATGCAGGAGAAAGGAAAAAAATTTACCATTATCGGTCTCATCATCATAGGTCCAAGGATTATCAACTTCAATCCATCCCCTAAAAGATTTGTTATCGAGTGTGCGATCAACGGCAGCCTCTGATTTTCCTTCCTGACACTTCAGATCATCGGCAGAAAGTGCTTGAAAGGGCTTCTTAAATGGCTTAGGGAATTCAGTCTCAGGACACTCACAAACACTGCAATCCCTAAGACGGCACATCCCATCATCAGGCCAAAAGGGGCAGTCACACCACAATTTAACCTATCAAAGTAGCAAAACAAGTGCTAATCAGTAAAAGGCTGCAGGATGCTAAGTTCCAAATGGGCTGGTGAATATAAATGGTGTAGCAGCACAATAGTAGTGATATGGTGTTTCACAATCAAACAAACATGCAATGAACATTAACCACATCCATTCTTCTCATTAGGAATATTGCCCATCCATTTTTAGACCCTTGGAATAACACCTCTCAAATGATAATAACATGTTTGTTCTTGGTCTTCTAAACTGATAATTTCCCCCCCCCCCCCCAAAAAAAAAAAATAATAATAAAAAAAAAATAAAAAAAACAATTTGGTTTTCATGCTATGTTTTAAGCCAAGCCACTTTACTCCAAAAGCACTAAAAGAGTAAACAGCAACTTAGCTCCAAAAGGACTAAAAGAGTAAACTGCAGTGCGTAAGAACAGTTTAGCAAAATCCAGTCGAACTGGATTTTTTTTCCTTGGCTGAAAAAGAATACAAGAGAAAGGATGGAGATGTTCTCCTCCTCCTATTTTTGTCATCCTCTTCATGTATTCTTAACCTACAGCTTGCTCTTTTTCCCATCCAAAGCCATCTTCAGAATGACTCCATTTCCATCCAAGTGGAGTATGAAGCTTGTTACTATACTTCAGAAGTCTACACTCATTGATCAAGAGCACAATTTGTAAAGCCGTTACTACAACTTAAAAAATAACTACAAATTAGTAAACCTCCAAGGAAAACAGGCCCCAGGTGATAACATTCTATTAAAAAAAAACAAAATACTGCTTCAATACATAGTGGGCAACTTTCACGTATGATGGTGTTAGATTCTAATGGGTAGATCAGATGGACTACCTTGAAGAATTTAGGATTGAGCAACAGCCTCAAACTATTTGAAGAATATTTGAAGGAAAATTAAAATCTATTTGATTTGCATCTACCCTTAAAATATCCCGTTTGAAAAATTAAAGTCTAATTGATTTGGTTTACAGGTGGGAGAATACTCGGTGTGTTCTGAAGCAAGAAGCAATCACCTTAAAATATCGGAAGAACGGAGCGGGGACCAGCTCTTGTAAAATCGGACGCAAAACCTCCTCGTTCACAAAATCTGCAGTCTCATAATCGCAAGTACAGCCCTCCACGATCCCAGTGTACCTTCTTGATCCCTGAAAGCTCCGAAAAGATTCATTCAAAACCCCTCCACCGACATCAAATCGGAGAGATACAAAAAAGAAAGAAAAATAATAAGTGAAGTTACCGGTGGGCACTCGATTGGCTTCTTGGAAAAGATCCCCAAAAGAGGGATCTTTCCATAACTCGCCGGAGCGTCGCTGCAATTGCCAAGAGACGGCGATCAGAGCACACCCAGCAGCAATCCCAATTGCCCCGCCGCTTCCGCCGCCGCTGTGGCTGTCGGCGTCCGCATTTCCCATCAGAACCCTAGATTTTATCGAAGAAGGGAAGGAACGAGAGAATAAACCCTGGATCAATATTTTCCCCCCCTTCCTTCAATAAAATGAAAACCCTAGAGATGAAGGGGTAGGTTTGGGGGTTTTAAAAAGCTTATTATTAGTTATGATTGAAGATTCAACGGAGGAAGAGGGAGAAATGGGAAAGCAGAAGAAAATGATTTTTTTTTTTTTTTTTTTGTGCCCCGTCAATGTTTTTTTTTTTTTTTTTTTTGTGCCCCGTCTGTTTGACTTATGACCAGTTGTGTATAATTTCGTGATTTTCTTGGGCAATTGTTTTTATTATAAGGAAACACGCGGGTGGTTTTTCAAAACATGGTACCGACGTCATGACGTGTTTGGTTCTTTCTCATTGGTGCAGTTGGATAAGACGCCTGGGATTCTTTGCCCAGCAAATTTGACCAGATCAAACACGGGGGTGGGAAACGTTGTATGTAGCCTAGCTCCTCATTGTCTACTGAGTAAATGTCACTATATCTAATCTAATATTTCTAATAATATTATAAAAGTATATTGGTATGTTAAAATATATTTTTTCAAAAATATCATTTAAAATATATAAATGTATACACAAATTATAAGTATCCATTTATAAACCATAACTCATACATACATAACCCCCAATTAAATGCATTATTATTCATAACTCCCAATAATTTCACAATGACTAATTTGTTTATATTTTTGTAACCTCACATTAACATATTAATCTCTTATAATTCTCATTAATTATCACCACTATAATTAAGAAAATGTTACAACCATTCATCTTCTTACTAAACCACTATAAATCATAATAAATCTAATCTAATATCTAATATATATATGTACATATGTATATGTATATATATATATATACTATTCTAAAAATGTGTACGATGTTAAAACTTTTCTTCCAAAATGCCATCTAATTTTTGTGTAAAATTCTAAAAGTGCTCATTATATAGCATGGGGTGTTCATGTATTTTGTGTCTCCTTATAATAGAACATACGTACATGAACACAGATGCATACTCAACATGACAAAATACTATATTTAATGCCATGTATAAATTATTCTAACTCTTAATAAAAGATGATATAATATAGCTGTTTCTCTCTCTCTCTCTCTCTCTCTCTCTCTCTCTCTCTCTCTCCCCTCCCCTACCTATATCTTTTATTGAAATGAACTGAATGCTGGCTTTTAAAGAAGGATTATGTTCAACATACAAGCTTGAATCACAAGAGGTACATGCGTGATAATTTTCCCTCTATGCTAATTTTTAGTTCACACCTAATTAATTGTAAAAATAATTCTTTTACACTCCCCACTCAATTTAAAAAACCATTCACCTCATCCATCTCATAACCTCCAAACCCATCAATCTATAAATCATCTCCTCTTTCTTCACTCCATCTCACAAAATCCTTCCACCATCAGGAAAAAAGAAAAGAAAAGAAGAGCTCGCAAAATTTCCGATGTGTTCAATTGAGGAAGGATTATTCGTAACGCTCTCTGTTTTCATTTTAGAGTAGTGAAGAGAGAAAATGGTTGTTCAAATTCATGAGCTTCTACTTCTCTACAGGTATAATTAGTCTTATTATGGAATTTTATTACTCTATTTTTATTATTTTCTTGTCTTAAATTTTTTTCCTTTTATTTTTAAAAAAGGACAGGATATCTCAAATGCTACTTGAGTTTTGAATGACATTTAGTTTTATCTTCTTATTTTTCTTTCTATTTTCTCCACAAACTGTTAATCGTCTTTCATAGGATTAAACCATGATTTTATTAGATGCTTCATTTTTAGTTATCTTTTCCAGATAATTTTTTAAGAATGGTGATTTTTGATTTTTCGGAGCATCTTTAAATTTGATAACATAGTACAAATCAGTAAACCTTTGTTTGCCAGAACTTTTACTCAATCACATTATCAACTAAGAAATTGGATTTAGATTTGATTTTTCTTATAATTTTTCCCAATTTTGCAGGATGTGAGATTATTTTAAGAAAAAATAAGCATAGAAATTCAAGTAAATCATATCAATCATTACTTAATGCAATCATAGCTGATAATTATGTGGCCTCACAAGACAACTAGGCTTGTCTAGAATAGTTGCAGCAACAAAGTTATAATAAACAAGGAAATTAAATTGATACTTTGTGTGTGCGTGTATCTATTTCTTATTCTTTTTTTTTGCCCCAAATTGCAGGATGTGAGATTATTTTAAGAAAAATATAAGCATAGAAATTCAAGTAAATTATATCAATCATTACTTGATGCAATCATAGCCGATAATTATGTGGCATCACTAGACAACTAGGCTTGTCTAGAACAGTTGCAGCAACAAAGTTATAATAAACAAGGAAATTAAATTGATATTTTGTGTGTGTATCTATTTCTTATTCTCCCCCACCCCCACCCAAAAAAAAATTACAGGATGTGAGATTATTTTAAGAAAAAGATAAGCATAGAAATTCAAGTAAATCATATCAATCATTACTTGATGCAATCATAGCTGATAATTATGTGGCCTCACAAGACAACTAGACTTGTCTAGAACAGTTGCAACAACAAAGTTTTAATAAATAATAAAATTAAATTGATACTTTGTGTGTGCGTGTATCTATAAACGTAGAATAAAATGTAAATGATGATGAAACTCCCTTTTAGAATATGGTTTTGTGGAAAATTTACTCATATTCTTAACTTTCGTTAAGTTTAATGTATTCTAGAGTAATTTTACCTTTGTGTCCCTAATTGAATTATTTTTTAAATGAAAGTAGCAAGCTTCTTTCCCCACAATGAGATGAAGCCCATGGGTTAATTGGTTGGCTCAAAGTGCAGGAGAGGATTCATAGGACTCAAGTGTTATTGTGAGGTAGCAGAAAATAATAGATTGAAGTCTATTTCATATCAATGGATGGTTTAAGAGTTGAAAAACGATTTGTTGGGTTGCTGGTTTCTTGGATATGACATGTATTACTTTGAGTTATTCAATTTATTACCATTTAATTATCAATCCCTTCTAAGTCTCTAGCAAATATCAACTCTTATGAATCCTCTTATTATGCACTCTCCTCTATTATTCAATCTTCGTCATATACTTCTTTTTACACCCAACCAAAGCGGTGAAGATTGAAGAGTAGGTTAGAGTGCATAATTTTAAAAAAAACACAACTTCTATCTGTATTTCTAAACAATCTATATACTATTACTAATAAGTGTTACCCTTGGTAACGCCACTTGGCAAAAATGCCACTTGGCAAAAATACCCCATACAATTATAAACGTCACCTGGCAATCACCTCATTTCCCCAGTTCTTCATTTCCCAAGCCGACTCTTCGTTTCCCCAGTTCTTCATTTCCTCAAAACCAATAGCTCTTCGATTTCTCCAATGCCGCTTCGGCTTCCAGAGAATTCGTGCTCCTCTTCGTCTCATCTTTTCAAACGTATTCACTTTGATCTACACAAACCTCCTCTCCTCTTCGTCTCATCTTCTTCTTCATCCTCACTCACTTCAAGAAATCTAACAGAGGGGAGAAAACCCTAACCCTAGCTTTAATCCAAACCCTAATGGCGACGGCTCCCATCTACGGCTCCTCTCTCGAGGAGGCCGAGCTCCGAATCAAAAACCTAAAATCCAAGTTCGCTGAATTATTCGACGGCGATCAGCCTGATCTTTTCGCTAGATCTCCAGGTTGGAATTTTAACATATTTTTGTGGTTCTGATTGTTTTTTTTTTTTCTTNNNNTTGGATCTGATGATGATGGTGATGAGATTGAAGGGAGAGTGAATTTGATCGGTGAGCATATTGATTATGAGGGGTACTCGGTGTTGCCGATGGCGATTCGGCAGGATACGATTGTAGGGATCAAGAAGAGGAGCGATTCGAAGCCGCTGTTGAGAATTGGGAATGTTAATGATAAGTATAGCTTGTGTACCTATCCTGCTGATGCTAATCAGGTACAAAGATTAGTTTTTTTTGGAAATATATTATCAATGTAGTGATTCTCCCATCATTTCATTAGAATGAAAGTTGCGAATCAATCTCGGGAACGGAGACATGAAAACTTCTATGAGAAATTAAATAAAATACTGACTTGATCTTGTGGGCGATAATAGGTAGAAGCAAATATTGTCCTTGACATTTTATTTGTTACAAATTTTGAAAAGAAAGTTCATAATTTCCCAAATGAGGTTGCTGAATTAGTGATCTGCACGTTTCAAGCTTATTAGTTATTACTATGAGTTTTTCGTGATGTTAGCGTTTGAGATTATGGAAATGACATGATTAGCAGTATCTTTTAAGCTGTGATTTATTGAGTTTTCTGGGAGGTGAGTTAAAATTGTCAACTTGTGAGACAGAATCATATAGAATCTTCTCTTGTGCAGAAATATAATGAATTAGATGATGAATTCAGTAAACAATTTATACTTATCCTTTCTTTTTTATATATCACTAAAAGGAGTCGCACTGTTTTTTTCTTTGTGCATTGCTGCTTTGGTCCTCTTCTTTCACTTGGATTGTGCCAAAGTACTTTGAATAGCTAAGTTTGGGTCATGTAACATATATGATAGCTAGCATTGGCTCCTTGATATGCACAATTTTTAGTCATTCATATTGTTTTCTTATAGTTATTTTATTGATTGATAATTACCATTTTGTTATTTCAGGAAATTGATTTGAAGAATCACAAATTGGGGCATTATTTTATTTGTGGGTAAGGAGTGTTTTAACTGTTGTTATAATGTAATTATCTGCATCAGATTTACTCAAAAAAACTAGATATCAACAGCAAGTGTAAACTTATTTCGGTAATAATAAATCCTTATCCTGCAGTTACAAGGGATTTTATGAGTTTGCTAAAGCGAAAGGATTCGATCTGGGCGCACCCGTCGGCCTTGATGTAGTTGTTGATGGGATAGTTCCTACAGGTGCCTTCCCTGTCCAATTATCGCTTTCTCTTTGTAATATTGTTTTGTTCTTCCAGAATATGGTAGTTTTATAAATTTTGTTTGAGCACCGTTGTGTCGTGGAACAAATAAAATTTTGGATATTCTTTTTGTCCAGGATCTGGACTCTCAAGCTCAGCAGCATTTGTATGCTCTGCCACAATTGCTATAATGGCTGCTTTTGATGCAAAGTATCCAAAGGTAGTCGTTTTCAAAATCTTATTAAAAAAAGCCATGTGTTTTTGCAATTTTAATGACATAAATTCAACAGCTTAGTTCACATGTGATAATCAGTTCAAGTAGTAGACTTCGTTCATTCTCTTTCCTTCTTTTGTGGGTGATTTTGGATTTTTAATTTGAAGTTGATAAGAGATACTGAAGTAAGTACCATTGGTACTATTTGATTTATCTCTACCTGTTGTACTGTAGGGAACTTTCTTCTGCTTTTGTAACGTGAACATTCCATAAGCTCCTTACTCTTGAGTATCTGGATCGCTTCTGTATGCCTTCTTGAAGTGATTTTTTCTGATGAATGGGTAGGATCTTTGATTGCTCCTGAAAGAGAGCTTAATAATTATTTTTCCAGTTCACATTCCCTAACCTGTTGAGCTGTCCTGGGTGCACTTTTCATTTTGTAGTCTTTATACTTTATATTGTATGGTTGGCGATTTATGCACATGCATTAGCTACTGGTCTTTTATTGATAGGAATTTAAATGCTAAGAAGTCCTTGCATTTTAATATTTCTTATTCTGTTTTCTGCAGAAAGAAATTGCTCAACTTACATGTGAATGTGAACGCCACATTGGAACACAGTCTGGCGGGATGGATCAGGTGAAATATTGCATGGCTTATTATTCCTTGTAAGCTTGCATTAATTTCATGAAATGCTTTGATGCAAAAAATAACTCTTATATCCTTACTTCAAACTGTTTTAAAGGTTGTACTTTCTGTCATGTACTAAGCGAGGTCGACACGCTTTGGTTTTATGAAGAGTTGAACTTTTAACCTTCTCTTCTGTAAGCTCTTATTGTTGCAGTCATGTATTCTTCCCCTTAGGTTATATGTTCATTAAATACTAGCTTCTGAAGAAACAAACTCTTTTTCATACTCAAGGCCCTCCTGTATGTTATACTTAATGGAAGTAAAATAATCTTGATCATCAACCTCTTGACAGTGCTCCATTATGATATTCTGCGTCATCTTATACTCCGTAGTTTGCGTGCTTGGGTGGAAGTGGTACTAGGATGAGCGACCTCTAGGAAGTCCTTGCTCGGGGTATGAGACACAAATTTTACATTTTGTTCTAGAATTTTTTTTTTTTGTATATTGTTACTAACCTATGTTTTTACACATAAGCTTTTCTTGGATATAGTTATACAGAAGTTATTGGCCTCATATCTTTCTCTTCTACCATGTGCAGAGGATTTAGCAGGGGTTAAAATTCTTCATGGTCTTGATTACTAATTCCGTGAAATCCACCACTCATAAATTGTTGATACTTTTCTTTCTTCTGGGGAAAATACATATGACAATCTTAGTCTAGCAGTAATGATTTCATTGAATCTTGATGTAAAGTCTGTTTGATGTACATTGATATATCCACCAATCAATACAATTTTATTGAATCATAAGGTAAAGTCTTCTATATGTTGTTACAGCTTGCCTCCATAATAACATGCATCTTAAGACATTTCTAGAGATAGTTTAGTCTTTATATATTATAAACTACATTTTTGGTGTAATCTTTAATTAATGAAGTATACCCTATTGAGATATGCTAAATATTTTTTGGGATATTTGTTTTTTAAGATTTAAACAAAAGACTCCTAATTAAGCTAATCTTTTATATGTTGTCGTTTTTTTAGATATTGATATATTACGTATCATATTTCTAAACAGGGTTATCTTATAATTGTTGTATGGTTAAAGAGTTATTTGGAAACATCGCAGTGCACTGCTCTTTTGGATTGTTCTCTATGTTTTGAATCTCGACAGAAACTATATAACATATGTAAGTAAATCTGATTGAATATTGCTAGAATATTTATTCATTTTTATTTAATTGAGATTGATTATTGAACAATTTTAATGACTTTTGTTTCAAAACTTCTCTTCTTATGAATATTACTGAATAACATGCTCTGTATTATTTTAACAAGAACCGTTTATGATTTGATTGAATACTAACATGCCTACTCTTTTACTCTTTTTCAAGAAGAATTCAAATATTAGCCCTTCATGACCTTTATCTATGTTGAAAATTATTGAAAAATCCGTGCATCGCACGGGTCTGAAACTAGTATATTTAATACCTCTTACTGTGAGAGAGTCCCCAAATCCCTCACATATTTACGTTACTCCAAAAAGAATGACCGCAACCTAGAGCTTCAATTTTGAATTTCAGCGAAATTTGGGGAACAAAAATCTATTTGGGATCTTGGTGAAGGGGTTTCATGCTCAAAATTGGAAATTTGTAGTGGAATTAACCTAGGGTTTTTGCATTGATATTGTTAGTTAACAACTAGTATATTTAATACCTGCCGTATACCTATTTGATGGCATGGTATGTATCCCACTGTCCTCTTTTGATGAGTGCCTCATCTCCCTCGGACGAAGGATTCGTCCCTTTCGTACAGAGGTTGGAAGGAGCTACTTGGGAAGGCATATATGTAGTGAGGGTTCGTCAAATCTTATCGAGAGACCTCAATTATCAGCTATTCCGCTGTTTCCCAGACTTTGAAGGTGGTGGATATGGGCAAGTGTTCCAGGATATAGCTGGCCCGGATGGTTTTACCCGTTTAGATGGAGGGGTCTTCCACTGGCTCTTGAACATTAGACCAGGTTATCTCCTCCTTAGGCAAGGTGATAAATGTATAATTGAGCCGTATCAACCGTACACATTTGCTCGGCAATTTGGATATGATCAATTATACATTGGGAATCCCCAGAGTCAGCTTGCAATTGCTGGTAACATATACGAAGGGGCTCGGGCCTGGTACTACGTACTCTACCGCAGGCTGCACCGGAGCTACTTTTAGGTTACCTCACAAGACGCCTAATTCTCTCCTCTCCATTGCTTTCTGTAACTGGTATCACACAGCTTCCAAGATACCTGATTACAAGTTGAATTTGTCGGGGCTACGGGAAATTAGAAAGATGTACTCATCCAGAAGAGGATCCCGGGTATCTCGTCTGAAGGGAATCAATGAGTTTTTATCTTATGAAGGTGAGGCTGAAGAAGAAGAAGGAGATATGGGACCAGAGAGTGCCCCAGTAGCGAGCCCTAAGGCTGCTGAAACTCCAAGAACAAA